CCGAGGTTCTCCAACGTTCCGAGTTGACGGGACGGTGACGTGGCCGAGGGGGTAGTGTGTTTGCCACTCGTCGCAGAGGTTTGCGGTTCGAGCCCAGTGGCCGCTCTTGTTAATACTGCGGGTGTATAATAGTAATTAAAACAATGTCTACTTCATGGTGGACAAAGGATTTCAATAATGGTATTCGAAAAAGATTAGGCCATGTTTGCCGGCATCACGGTCCAAGAAAATTAACCGCCGTATTTTATTTTAACGTGGTGCATATAGAACGGAGATCGATTGATTTATTTCATTAATGTCAAAGTGAATATCGTAAACAAATAATTTTTATTCTCTTAAGGATTGAAAAAACTTAATTAGGTTGGGAGTGATGATGTAATGCTGTTTGGCATCCCGATGATTGATTGCATTTCTTGTGCTTGGTAAGGAATTTCCTCATCATTTGTAAGAAACCCATCAAGCATGAATGAGTCAAACCCGGGCTCAATAAGTGTAATCGTCCCTTTCTCCTCTACTGCCCCCATCGTCTGGAATCCACTTCCCCCAGCCACCCATGCTGTAAACTCCCTGCCACAAAATGAGCCACAACACCTCGCTGATCTCATTAAGGAGCATAAACCATCACACGAACTCTGGTCATCCTCGCAGCAGCGGCTTTTGGCTAGCCATTGCACAAAGACGGTCACTGTATTGCACGCTTTCAGATGCGCTTCTGCGGGCATCTGGAACACGCTCTTCCGATATTACATTTAGAAGCCATATAAATCATAATTTTTATTTAAATCCACATTGTATTATACAGAGGCATATAGACTTATACGCTAACACAGTACCCATATACTTACATAGGACCCAGAACTTTGCATAGAGACCCATAGACTCACATAGGACCCATACTGTAGAGATTCGTAGACTTAGAAACCCATATAATTACATACAGACCCATATACTCCCACAGGGATCAATAGACTCGTACAGAGACCCATAGACTCGTATGGTGACCCATGGACTCGGGGACCTGCATACTCACATCGGGATTTCATAGACTCACATGGGGACCTGTCGCTGACTTGCCTATGAAATTAATTCTGCCCACTGTTTCAGTACAGCGTCTTGAGACGCGGTCACATTTCAACTCTGCCATATAAATCCGCGCGGCAATCCTATTCGTATCGTATACTTGTGAAAGTCGGGGCAGCAGGGTCAGGGTTGGATTGGAGGGGAGGAGGACGATTCAAAGGGAAATGGCATTTCAGGCTGGACGGTTGGATCGGCAGGGCTTTCGATTGTTTTATCACCGGAACAGCGGGGAGAACTGACCCCGCCGACGTTGAGTGTGGCGTGGGCGATGAGAGATGTCTTCATCTCTTCACGCTTAGCTCTGCACTCCCTCAGTGGGCCCGGCGTTCCTGTTAGCAATCGTTGCTATCGCCAGTGCTAACCGTGTGTGTTTTGACGTTTTTTTTCCCCGACTTTTTCAAGGGACACACAAAAACGTGTCAAAAGCACTCGGCCTTGTGTGCATTGTACAAAAACAAAAACATCAGCAGTACCTGAGGAAGTGCATTCTGGTCCTCTTGTCTTAGGTCACCATCCAAATAAATGTGAACCAATGTGGCCGACTGATGGGCAGCAGTGATTTGGAGGTGGACAACTATCGACAGGTTTTGCCCATATTAGGACTCGTCAATATAGTGTCGTATGTTCACCAATGCTCACCGCTGCAACTTCGGTCTCTGGTAACCATATATATGCAGTCCCCACTTCTACACGATGGGGAGTCCCATTAGCGTGGCTAATGCCAGCAAAATAATTAAATCTGTAAATGAATTTTGATGGCATTTCTCGTGACGTGGCAAATTTGGTTAATTTAAGGACGTGTCCTCTTTCACGGTTGTGCTATGCAGCGCATATCATGTTATAGCTGGGACGATTAACAATGTGCAACAGTCCCGTCTATTAAATATTGGCTCTTGCACTCTTGGTACATGTGGTAAATTGTGCATGTCCTCTTGGGTGCATTCCCGTCCATTAGCTGCCCATTCTGGTATCAGTCATGACCACTGAGCATCGTTGAATTGGCATGCACGAGTCGATTATTTACGTCTGCCAGAATCCTCAAATGTGACTTTCTGATGTCGCATTGAGACTTAAACAAAACCATGTACAGTGAGGGAAAAAAGTATTTTATCCCCTGCTCATTTTGTACGTTTGCCCACTGACAAAGAAATGATCAGTGTAATATTTTAATGGTAGGTTTATTTGAAAAGTGAGAGACAGAATAACAACAAAAAATCCGGAAAAATGCATGTCAAAAATGTTTCAAATTGATTTGCATTTTAATAAGGGAAATAAGTATTTGACCCCTCTGCAAAACATGACTTAGTACTTGGTGGCAAAACTCTTGTTGGCAATCACAGAGGTCAGACGTTTCTTGTAGTTGGCCACCAGGTTTGCACACATCTCAGGAGGGATTTTCTCCCACTCCTCTTTGCAGATCTTCTCCAAGTCATTAAGGTTTCGAGGCTGATGTTTGGCAACTCGAACCTTCAGCTCCTTCCGCAGATTTTCTATGGGATTAAGGTCTGGAGACTGGCTAGGCCACTCCAGGACCTTAATGTGCTTCTTCTTGAGCCAATCCTTTGTTGCCTTGGCCGTGTGTTTTGGGTCATTGTCATGCTGGAATACCCATCCACGACCCATTTTCAATGCCCTGGCTGAGGGAAGGAGGTTCTCACCCAAGATTTGACGGTACATGGCTGTGTCCATCTTCCCTTTTGTTGCGGTGAATTTGTCCTGTCTCCTTAGCAGAAAAACACCCCCAAAGCATAATGTTTCCACCTCCATGTTTGACGGTGGGGATGGTGTTCTTGGGGTCATAGGCAGCATTCCTCCTCCAAACACGGCGAGTTGAGTTGATGCCAAAGAGCTCCATTTTGGTCTCATCTGACCACAACACTTTCACCCAGTTGCCCTCTGAATCATTCAGATGTTCATTGGCAAACTTCAGGCGGGCATGTATATGTGCTTTCTTGAGCAGGGGGACCTTGCGGGCGCTGCAGAATTTCAGTCCTTCACGGCGTAGTGTGTTACCAATTGTTTTCTTGGTGACTATGGTCCCAGCTGCCTTGAGATCATTGACAAGATCCTCCCGTGTAGTTCTGGGCTGATTCCTCACCGTTCTCATGATCATTGCAACTCCACGAGGTGAGATCTTGCATGGAGCCCCAGGCCGAGGGAGATTTACAGTTCTTTTGTGTTTCTTCCATTTACGAATAATCACACCAACTGTTGTCACCTTCTCACCAAGGTGCTTGGCAATGGTCTTGTAGCCCATTCCAGCCTTGTGTAGGTCTACAATCTTATACCTGACATCCTTGGAGAGCTCTTTGGTCTTGGCCATGGTGGAGAGTTTGGAATCTGATTGATTGATTGTTTCTGTGGACAGGTGTCTTTTATACAGGTAACAAGCTGAGATTAGGGGCACTCCTTTTAAGAGTGTGCTCCTAATCTTAGCTCGTTACCTGTATAAAAGACACCTGGGAGCCAGAAATCTTTCTGATTGAGAGGGGGTCAAATACTTATTTCCCTCATTAAAATGCAAATCAATTTATACCATTTTTGACATGCGTTTTTCTGGATTTTGTTGTTGTTATTCTGTCTCTCACTGTTCAAATAAACGTACCATTAAAATGATAGACTGATCATTTGTCAGTGGGAAAACGTACAAAATCAGCAGGGGATCAAATACTTTTTTCCCTCACTGTAAACAAGAAATTCGTTTTGGATGGGGGGAAAAAAACATAGTTTGGATTTCGGTTTTTTTTGGACGATTTTGGTGTCTTGTTCGGATTTCTTTTAATTTAGGATAACTTGCGCCCCGTAATAATTTTGACGTATGTTCGTGGTGGCAACAACAGTGGTGTCACGTTACATGTGACACAGCTGTTGCCAGAAAAGCACGGAAATGACGGTAGTCTAAGTGATGTCACTTCCGTCTGAGTGATACTTTCGGATTTAATCCGAAACACAAAAATAACACATTTTCGGATCATTCAAAAAGACCGTATCTTAGTCGGATTTTTGGAGATTAAAAAAAAAGAGTAAATTTCAGCCCAATAATTGGGAAAAACTTCCATTGTACAACCTAGAATGGAACACAATAGAGAACAATACAAATTAGATGGTCAAAGGAGACTTAAAAGGGTAGATCCTGGAGTCCCAATTGTGACGCCCAATTCGTGAAAATCATCTAATCGCTGGCCTTATGAGTGAATCATTACATGCATTGTTTTAAATGCCTGTGTTGCCTCAAAATTCTAAAAGCCTTTGAATGGGAGTCATGGTCCAGCAGAGCTTGCCCGCTGAATAGGTTAATGAGGCATCACATTAATTATAAATATCTGCTTCACTGTTTCACGCAATATAATTGCATGTACGAGCTGAGCGAGTCAGATGAAAAACCGTTGCTCCCGCTACTATTTGCACGTGATCTGCATTAATTATAAGTAATTGACTACGGTGCGCACACTGTGTAATGCGTGTGTCGTGAGAAAGGAGAGCTGTCGTAGTGTAATGGTCGGCACGCTGGACTTCCAATCCGGAGGTCACCGATTGACTCGCCGCAGTGAGTCAATGGACAGGTCATTGCGTGGTGGGGTAAAATGTGGATATTCCCACTTCTTGGTCCAAGACGTGTGGCCCAGCATGCTAGAGTAGACCAAATACCCAGAAGAGCAGCTCTCTAGAGCAAGAGGGCCTTCTGTAAGCAAGCCATTGCAGGGCTGCACCCTTACCCTCAGCAGGATGGATCCCCCCACCCTCGACCTCTGGGTTACAAGTGCAGTGTGCTCACCATTACACCACAGCAACGTTGTCCGATGACTTGTATTGAGTATTTACTGTGATCGAGTACAATGTATTGGCGTGGCTGATGTTGGTCGGACCGCTGGGGATATTTTTCACTCGTTTAATCAATAATCGGACTCTTTTTTTTCCAGGGCCCTGGCAGCCTGGTGAAGATACGGAAGAAGAACTCGCAGGATGCTTGTCCGCGGGATTAAGGCCGCGTAACCTTTTCAACGAAACTGTAAAAGCAACGCCCAACGGTTTTTTGGGGGTTGCTTTTCTGTTCGTAGCGTTTTGTAAACCGGAGGGGCGGGGAGGCAGCAGTGTTAATTTTCTTTTACAAAACTACCGATGGAAATATTCATCAACGGGGGGGGGGGGGGGGGGGTGTTTGTGTTTTTATTTTGAGTCGACGATCGCTTGTGAGCGGACGGAACTGTTGAAGTTACGGCGACGATGACTACGACTGCTCGGCCAAAGACGAAAGCGCGACCGTGACGAGACGAAACTAGCGAGTCTGAATGAAGACACGGACTAAGATAATTTTTGTAGCCTTGTTGGAGATCGCAGTGCGCTGAGGAAGAGCAGACATGATCACCTATATAAATAAAGACCTTAATGCGTCTCAAATACTTCTATATTATTTTCTAACAAGGTAGAAAGCTGACATTTGGTACAGAGGTTACGTTTAGGACGTAAACAACAGAAAAACATCCGAAAATCCGAGATTTTTCATTTTAAGGCCCCCCAAATCTCGATCAAGTACCCCATAAACATGTTTGTGCGTGTCATTCAGAAACCATTCAAATATAAGATTGCAGGGTTTTTTCGTTTGGTGTTGAACAGAGGCATTCTATATTTTTTCGGATTCAAGCAGTTTTGAATGAAAGAATCGCATTTTTTTTATCGTATCTGAACCATTCCAAAACGGTAAAAGGTAGAGGATTACGTTAATATATTTTTTTGTTCTTTCTCATAAAAAAAGAACGGAATCTTGAAATTGAGCAGTTTCTGATGGGTGTACGTCTTTAAGTATAAGAAATAGACTCAAGTCGTCAACAATTATTTTTTTGTGGATTAAATGCAACATTTTTGCAGTAAAGTCTCTGATCGTAGCTTAAAAATTGTAAAACTAAAAATCATATTAGGCTAATACATTTATTGAAAACTTTGGCATGGGCTAGTTGGCTATACAGTAAAACCTTGGATTGCGAGCATAATTCGTTCCGGAAACGTGTTTGTAATCCAAAGCACTCGTATATCAAAGCACTCGCATATCAGTTGTGATCATGTGACGCTCGGCAGACAAAGCGTATACGTACACTACTCGTATTGCAAGACCTCGCTCGTTTATCAAATTAATATTTATTTAAATGTTTTGCTCGTCTTGCAAAACACTCGCAGGCCAAGTTACTCGCAATCCAAGGTTTTACTGCATATAAAGAGATGTATTGAGTCCATTAATTGGCTGACCAGATTATATGGGTGTGCGGGGCGTGTGGAAAATTGCACACTCCACACACGAAAACGTAATATGAAGAGTGTTTGACTAAGCGCTTTTTAATAGCTTTGTAACGTCCCGGTTGCTCGTTTTTTTTGCGGCATTAACGTGCGATTAAACGAGACCCCTGGATCGCATGTTATGCTAACGCGAGAAGGCTCGTGCTCAGGTCTTGGGGATTATCAGTGCAAAGAGTCGGTGGAATCCCGTAGAATATTGGATTTCTGCTGACAACGTAAAGGATGTCCTGGGCGTAAAAAAAAAAACACGAGGACGCATTTGTTTAAAAAAGCCGCACTAATTCTCCGGTGGCCGCGTTATTAGAATGGATCGCGATAGATTACCGGAGCGGCATGCGCAGTCTGACAGAGACGGAAGAGCGGAGGAAATGACCCCAGATGTGGGTGGCTTAGCCCGTGACTGCGGAATTGGAAAATAGCTTTGAATGTCCCCCCGTTTTGCCTTTTGATGAAGACGGGAAGCGATTGAACTTGTTAGTGGTTGATGGAAAGTCACACGTTTGTCACGGATGCTGTTCGCTAAGAGCAGGGTGTGCGCTGGGAGGAGTGGGAAGAGGAGTAACAGGGCAGTCCATCTTTGCCGGGTCCTCCGGATTTACCCTCTAAATTTAGAATTAACGTGTTTAGATTATTTGGCTGCAACTGTGAATTCCCACATGTGACTATAAAGCCAATTCCATGAGCTATCATTACATGTAGCCAGGTTGCCTCTGAATTCAAGCTGATAGCGCAGTGGGCTTTACCTGGTAAAATACAATAGCCGAGTAGGTTATTTACAAACTACTATTTGGTTATTTTGGTATAGTCACGTAGAAAGAAATGAAATAATAGAATACGACGTTTCGATTGCAACACAAGCAATCGTCATCAGGCACAAATGAATGAGAAAACAAACCTGGTAAACTTAGCAAAATATAATGCAATACAACACAGAGAGCCGGCTAACGTAACAGTCAACACCCTACCTGGTTGATTACGTTCTTCCCAAGATTGCTAAATTTGAGAGACAAAACACAGACACGGAGACACATAGACACACAAGCAGAGAGAGACTCACACAGAGACAAACAGAGAGAGCCACACACAGGCATACAGAAACAACGCCTGTGTGTCTCTCTCTTAAATAGAGAGGGGGGGGGGGTAGAGAACAATGAGAGAGTTGTGTGGAACAAACAAGCACGGCGTGCCCAAAGCAGACAGAGGAGCTAGGCACTGGACTTCGAAACAAACAAGCAACGAGAAAGCAAATTTAGTAAAATTAGGAAGTGTAATGCAATGCAACACGGAGTTGATTAACACACAGTTAACGCATAGCCTGGTTGATTACGTTCTTCCAAAGATTGCTAAATTCGAAGTTAAGTGTGTAACAAACAAGCACTGGCAAATCCTCCCCGTAGAGATGGTTAAAACTAGATTAAAAACTTAATTTATTTCTACGTGACTTTACCGAAAAAATCAAAGAGTCATTCCTGCAGTCACGAAAGCTTTTAATCTAGTTTTTAGAAACTGCTCGGGGAAACTTTAATTCGCCTTGGTGCCAATATAACCAGGGTTCGGACAAAAAAAATCCTCTTGCGCTACCAGAGTCCATCTGTCCACATTTGTTAATCAAATGTTTTTCTATTTTTTTTGTTTAGTCAATGCTGTCTATGGGCGGTCGAAAGAGGCGTGACGATGCCCACAGCTAGGAGTCATACTTGCACCTGCCCCCCCCCCCCCCATGACCAATTGACCATGCAAAATATTGTTTTTCTTTCCCCATTGCCGATGTTGGCAGCAATCAGTTCAGGAGCAGAATGTTGAGGTCTGCTAGCCACGACGTTAGGGCTACAGGGAAGGTTTTGTGTAGTTTTACTCCGTTGAAGAGGCGCAGACTACAGTGATTTACGATTCACAATTAGGAACATGCCGATTTATAACTGTTTCAGGAGCACGGTTGGCTACGTACGGTGTGAAAGAAGTTTGTTGGAGATCGATGTCACAAAGTTTACATGGGTGCGGCATTTCCCGCTGGAGATTACGTCCAGCATCGTCAGGCAGCAGTAGCCAGAATTTAGAAAATGTCCTCCAGGCTTAGGCCTAGGCCTGGAGGACATTTTGATTTCTGCAATATGACCCAAGAAATCCATTATGAATCGTTATATTAGTCGTGAATGGCTACGTGTCAGTGGTTTACTCTGGCCTTTAATTTGGGTTGCATTGCCATAATCGTACCGTGGCTTGGGTCTTTAATGTCTCCATTTATGAAGGAGTTGTGTACATCGGCCTGTTGATGTTCTGATGCGGTTGGTGGTTACGCCCTCGTTTTTGAGGAGGAATGTCAAAGTCAGGAGGTGTGATGATGTTTGCTGTTGTTTTGCTGCCTTGCCAAAATTTGAGAATTGGTGTACTTATGCAATTTGAACTGGGATATTTGATTCCTATTTACGTATTTATTTTTTAGCGATTTGTAATCCTTTCCCTATACTTTGCACTCTAATAGTTTTTTGTCTTCATTGTTACTTTCTGACCTGCCCCACCTGTACATCTGTGGAAAAATAGCTTTATAGCTCATCCGCTTTCTCCAGGGTAAATACAGGTTCTGATTAGAAACATTCTGATTCTGACTTGTACAGGGTCTCCTCTACTTACGACCAAGCCTGTGCGTATGTTCAGTTGCCTGCTTGGACCGATAGTCTTAAGTTAAACCACCGCGCAATAGATGGCGGTGGCATCTACATTTGATTAACATGAAGAATCAGTGGCATCTACAGGAGATTATACAACTTTTAAAGCCATCCCCGTCTTTAGTGTACATGTCGTACAACATGTTTGGAATCGACAGGAGCAAAGTTGGACTTGCGAGCAAATCGACCTACGAACAGACCTGGAACCTAACTCGTTCGTAAGTAGAGGAGTCCCTGTACATGTAACATCAACGGTTTTCTTGTTTAGTGGATCTACCGCGGTGACGTGCGGAGGTTCACGGTTTGATTCAGGAGGCCGCCTTTATAATGTGGCTGAATTTCCACATGGTGATAAGCCACTTAGTTGAGCTGTCATTTGTGGCCAGATCGCTTCTGAAAAAGAGCTATATAGCTAAGTGGGCCTTACCTGCTCAAAAAATTGATAAAACATCCGGTAGACTCATGGTGGGGAGGACGACCGTGGATAATTCAAAATTATCCATTTTTCGTAGATATATGCCAAAAAACACTTATATAGGTATAAATTATGTTTTAAGTTAAGAAAATTTTGTTTGTTCATTACCAAAGAATAATTGTAGTACGAACCATCAATCGTGTGTGCTCAGTGCTCACACTTTACTGCTCTCAGTAAAGTGTGATCAGAGCCACGCCAATCGAAATCAAATTCCGCCCAGTGTTGTAAAGATATGCAACTACTGTACTGTAGAGGCGATCAAGTGGATTACATTAACCGGAGCACATTGGGTTTAAGCATGTGACATGGCATAAACATTTCCAAGAATGTATAACTGTCTTTAGATTATTAATTTGGGCTTAAGGGAACATCCACGAGATATTAATTTACGTCAAAATCTGAGGTGCGTGGTTAATCCGCAAATCTGATAACCAACGCGGATAATCAAAGAGTCTCCTGTAGTAATAACCTTAATGCAACACGCAATCGTCTGTTTCGCTCACGTTCAATGGCAATGATCCCCTGATCTCATTCGCAAGAGTAGGACATTGTGTGCCAGTGTCGGTCAGGGGTCCAAATTTGCCGAATTCAAAAACTGCACCGCAGATTACTCCATTGGGACTATGCATAGCAGTCATTGCCCCCTACTGGCAGACCAGTGCCCCAGGTCACTCTTTCCAAGGAGACTATCTTGGTATCCTCGAGTTTTCACCTGGTTAAACAATAGAAACTTTTACCGTACATGCAGTGATATATGATGTTTACATGGTTACGTGCTTATTTATGTAACCTTGATAGGTACAGATACCTAACCCTCGTGTATTGCCGGTAGGTCACTATCGAGAACACCCAATCGATGTGCAGGTCATGCAAATGGTATGCAAATGTTATGCAAATGTTTTACGTTGCGGAGGTGGAAACAATTGAGGCAGGCAAGAACGCACGACAGCGGATGCGATTTTACGACGAACGTCGAAATGCTGTCAACGAGAGATGGCGTACGGGGCCGTGCAGGGGAAACGCGCACAGCACGTGTACAAGGGAAGCGGCGAAGGCGGACGGTGCATCAGAAAGAGGTGGCACAGAAGAGACGGGGGCGGTAGGGGTGAGACGGAACGCACGAGAGAGAGAGAGACGACGCGGTGAGACGATGCGTATAGTACGTACGGTGGGCGTACGTGTGTATGTATGCAAAGTTCGTGGGGAATAATACCCATCTTGATTTGAAGCTTTCGTGACTGCAGGAATCCATGCTCTTTGGTACTTTCGGTAAAGTCACGTGGTAGGTATAAAATAAAACAAATTACGACGTTTCGTTCGCAACACAAGCAATCTTTACTTTAAAAAAAACGCCAACTTCAGCAATTTTTCTTGCTGTGGTTGTTCCACCTGATGAAGATTGCTTGTGTTGCGATCGAAACGTCGTGATTTGTTTGATTTTATTTCTACCTACGTGACTTTACCAAAAGAACCAAAGAGTATGTAATAATATCCATTTTCTATCCTTTTTGAGGCATAAACAATTCAAAAATAACACTACCCAGGAACAAAAATCGTGTTACGTAGTGAAATCCATTAGATGAGCGGGTGAGTGAATTGTTACATTGCCAACCTACTATAGTCTACAAAATAATAGCATTTTGCTGTTTTGTGTTGGATGCGTCTACAATTGAAAGCAAATATACAGCAAACCCTTGCCCATCGCGGGGGAGGGTGAGGGGGGGTTACGTTCTTGGAAATAGCCGCAATCGGCAAAACCGTGAACTGCAAAGTCTATGGCAAGTGGGAAAGTCGGGTTTGGTCCACGGTTCGTAATGCGTGTTCTTCCGCAGCAGCGTCAACGCGAGCAGGGCAGTAACGGCGACGCGTGGAGGGATATCGCGGCCGACCGCGAAAGGTCGAGCCACAGGAGTGCGATCGGCGAACCGAACCTCGAGAAATTTGGCACGCGGGTCACGCTCGCTAAACCCGCGAGAGGGGGGGTGGGGGTGGGAAGGGTTTGCTGTTGTGTGACGGGGACGACTGCCCTCCTTTGTCTTCAGCGGTCACGTGGGCCCTTCTCCAGAGCGGTCTTATGACGAATGTGTTGATTTTTGTAATTGTTTGGGTATGTGCAGCATCGCAAAAAAAATTGTTGCGTTTATTTTAAGGCTTCGTTACCATTTAAGCTTTTTCGTATGAAGCATTTGTGCCATTGATTGGCCCCCCGTGTGGGTATTCGCAAGCCCCCTGTTGTAAAATTTTGGGCTGTTGTTGACTTGTCATTTTTGTGAATTACAATAAAAAACAAAATCCTTTCAACTTCTTCACGGTGGAACAATTTTTTTTAAAAATCCTTTGTAGAATAAATTGCCATCAAGGAATCTTGATTTGTACATGTTTATAATTGCGTGCAAATGTTATCATGCACGTGTGGTGGGTGTCTTTGAGATTTGATTTGACGCAACCCATATTTCACGTATCTAGTCCACCTTGACCTTTGCTGGGCGTTCTCTACATTTGCTCGGTGTGCTGACGCCTTGCAACCACCACTGGTGGTTGCTTTTCTAATTCCAGCCACCGCCAAACGCCAACGTTGTCTCCCACCACCGCATACATTCTCGAGAAACGCGTCTTGCTCATCCTACCTACTGGAGCATCGGGATAGACTTAACTTTCCTCTCCCGCAGGCGAGCAAAAATGAATGCGATCGCGGACCAAGGAGCAATACAAAATATGCTTTTATTTCCCATATAAAGCATCTTCCACCACCAGGCGTCTGCCGACGAGTGCAGCGTTTATTCCTCGCGACCGCAGCGTGACTCGCAAGAGCGTTGTTGGGACGTTGACGGGACGTTGACGGGACGTTCAAGACGGCGGCGGGGGCAAGGGGGCGCAAGCAAGGCGAGGATCGTCACGGAGCCAAATGCGACACTTTTTTTTCTTACATCGATGCACACGCTGTCAAAACACGGCCAGCGCGCGCCCATAGAGCTGGGGCTAAGAAGACAATGAATCGACAAAAAGGATTAAAATAATTTAGTGTTTTTTTTCTGCAGTCTCTTACTCGGGGCAAGTGAATAAATCTCCCGAAGGCAGGAAACCCCCCCCCCCCCCCCAGCTTTACAGGTACGAGTAGTGGGGAGCGTGACACGGGCCCATCGTGGCGATGCCGATAACGTCACCAAGTGCCGCCCATCACCTCCCATCCGGCGGCACGCGTGGCAACAGAGGTGAGACTTCCCCCCCCCCCCCGCCGCAACCTCTACCCCTCCACGACTGTTTTCGTGTCTTCTCTTATTTAGCCGAGCACTCGGGACTGATGATGGGTTTGGAATGAGCGATTAGTTAAATCATCGAATATCCCCCCCCGCCAGCCCAGCTCGAGGACATCCCCGGCTCGTCGCCCACGGTTGACGGCTCTCCTCCCCAGATGTCATCGTTGGATTTCGTTCCACAAGCAAAAAAAACACCACACACAAGTCCTCGACACGACTACAAAGAGGTTGACTTCCGCCGCATGGCAAAAGAGAAAAAAAATCCGCGGTGTTTTTACAGAAGACTCGTCAGAATGTTTGTAACTGTATAAGAATAGGTTTGATGACCCTTTCTGGCAATAAACCAGGTGTCAAGATTGTAAAAACACCAAAACGGAAACCTTTTGCAAGGAAATCACTTTTATTTTCTCGTTATATATTTTTTGGGAAGGTCTCTCTTCGTAAGCGACTTTGCCGATGGGTGCCGCGCATGGAGTTCGTGGTCGTGCGGCGCTCGTTGGATATAGGAACGCGCGTCTTTTCCACTTCACAACCGAATCGTGCCGGGGCTGTGCCGTGCCAGTCTGGCGCGGCTCAGGAAGCAAGCACCACGTATTTTTCCACCACAGAATCCGAACTCTGCCGTTGACGCCGTTGACGTCGCGCGTCCGCGCCCGACGCCAAGTGTGACGAAAACGATTAACGTCGCGCCTGGTCCTGCCTGGCCACGCGGACCAGATTTAGATGTCAGGTCAGGGTAGCACGGTTTGGTTCTGGCTCGGCGCGGCAAATAGCCGCCGGACGTAGCCAACCGTGCTCACCGGAAGTGAGCGCCGCACGCTGGCAAAGCTCGGGTGTGGCAGTGGAAGAGGGGTGCGAGGAGGGGTCTCGCATTCCTCCCTCATCACCGTGGAACATTCGCACGGATATCCCCTGGGGATGGCACTCCCTTACCACCCTCGCGTCGGCGTTCGTCCGGAACATTTCCACGCGATAGGCCATTTTGTTGAGCTATCATTTGTGCCCAGGTCGCTTGTGAAAAAGAGGCTCATAGCCGAGTGGGCTTTACCTGGTAAAATAAACATGAGATTTGTCGCGTTAGTAATTTGCTTACCTTTCCTACACTTTGCACTCCTATCGTGTCTTCGCACTGTTTGTTGTGACGTTGTGACCCTCTCCTACCTGGACATCTGTGGAAAAAAAAGAGCTTCGTCGCTCATCGGATTCCTCCAGTATAAATAAACATTCTGATTCTGTTGAACTGGGGGACGTTAACTCCTTCGAGACACGTCTTGGGAATAGGTGGGATTACCCATTACCCCATCCCACTCCTTTGTGCTCCGAGACATGGAATCGAAGCCGTGACCTCTGGATTACAATGTCCGGCGTGCGGACCCTTATACGCCGCGGCAGCTCCCGGCGGACGTGAACACGGCGCGCTCCTGTTTAAGGTATAAACCCACCCGTATTCTCTGTTGTGAGCAAGGCTGTGTGTCGCCCTGGCTGCTGCTGTCGCCGTAATTACATTTTGTTAACATTTTACATTCGCGAGTTGTAAGATAGCGCCTCTTGTAAACAATTGGTTCTCAGCTTACGATTAATAGGGGAGGGGGAGGGGGGGGGAAACATTCTTGCGTAAAGACTGACATTCGCTTAAATGAGTACGCGAGACCGTGCCGACACGCTGGTGCGCGTTGGCACGGTCGCTAACACGCGCGCACAGCTGACACAAAAGGGCCGCGTTCCATCGGGCGGAGGGAGAGGTTCGCACGGTGGTAACATTCGTGTGTCGCAGAAAGACGCGCCTGGGTTCGATTCCTGACCTCGGGCACCTCTGTGCGGAGTCTGTATGCTCTCCCTCGTGTTTATGCATTGGTTTTCCCCCGGGTTATCCGGTTTTTCTCTCGTAGCTAAAACATTATTCTTTATTTTACCTGGTATCGGCCAAACATCCCTCAATGCAAAAGAAAAATAACCTGCAGATTTCTCAATTGGGACGACACAATGCAACATCGCCCTTTACTTGTGAACACTTGAAGAGCCCGCCTGATAAAATAGTCTTGAAAGTCGGTAAGGCTTTCTTGGGTAAACAATTGTAATAATAAGAATCAACAAAGGTAACTACGGTGCTTGGGTCAGGCATTCTTGGCATGGTTGGCATCAAAACCTTCAAAGCGGAGAATGAGATTTCAAGACGCAGTAAATTGGAGCTGCCACTCTGCGTTGTACCTTTGTGATACACAGTCGATTTTTGGGTCAGGCCATGTAACGTTTAAGCCAACTGTGCCGTAAATTAAATGGCCACGCGCGTAGACGTTGAACTTGTAATTGTCATTGAAGTTTCAGCTCATCGGCAAGCTGAATAACAATTCACGCAACCCAACGTAGAAATTCAGCAATCGCATTTCGGCGATTCTTGAAGGTCATGGCCGTATCATTCGGATTGAAGAATACGAGTGGCTCGGCAGAAGTAATGGTCCGCCGTTAATCGGAGCGCCAAATTGCGAAGGGTCCCCGGCCTTCACGCTTCTCGCAGGATTCCATTTATGCTTTGAAACCATTCAGATCCGCGATTTATAAAAGGAAAAACCGTGGGCCTTGACTACCTCGTTCGATCTCTAGTTTTCTGAGGGTGCATTACGTCGCACGTGTTACACCGCTATCTGTTGCTTTTCCATCTTTCTGAAATCCACACTCTATATTCTGGGTTCTATAAGAATGTTTTTTTTTTCATAAATAAAAAAAACGCGATACGTTGGTTTTACCCAGAACTTATTCGCTTTTCTAATATATTTTGCAATCTCTTGGCCAAAGGATTTTTTTTATCGTCCTTTTGCTCAATGATCTTGTTTTGCGTGTGTGCGTTTTGCACGTTTTGTGCACACACGCCGTTGGTGGGCAGGGGTCTTGTAGTGGTTAACGCACGGCCAACAATGGTGATGAATATCTGAACCGGTCCTGGACCTCCTCGAGGTTGACATAACCTTACCCTGGTGCAACGTGTAAACATCGGCACGAGGGAGACAAAGGTGGCCGGGAGTTGCGCTGCCCACCCCACCATGCAATTCGCCGTTCCAGCCGAATCATGTGTTCCACTAATGGCACTTGCCCAACAGCCTGTTGAGGCTATACAGGCTATCTTTGTTTTGTCACCAAATATGTGGACACATTTGAATGGTGAATGGCAATGGTTGGCAAACACTTCGCTATGAACTCGCTGACATAAGTTCGATTCCTGGCCCGGCTGACATCAGTGGCGAGCGAAATTTGAGCCGGTCCGGGGCCTGCACCCATTTTACCATTCCGCACTGACCAGCGTGGTGAAGTATGGTCAAACAACCCCAAAGGCCAATGGCAGTAGGACGAGGGAAAGCGTTCACCAAACATTAGATATAATCTTATAATTTACTATAATATTTATTTTATTTATTTAGTGTCTAAAGCCGTGTATATGTTTACGAACATATATTTACTAACGTACATATACACACATCTCTGTTTAAGCTGCACAAAAAAAACATCTATTGAACAATCCATTTAGACACGGTATTCTTGAAGCATACAGAAGGGCGATATCCGGACCTATTTAAAACGCCCTGGTGTTAATTTCCCCACGTACGCGTGTAACCACGATCCCAGACACACACGAGGTCACTTGCGACGAGTGTCCTTCCTGTTCTTGTAAATCTCGAATATGATAGGTCTTTAAAAATAAACTATTCAAATATTGACGTGACCCCGGGGGTGGGGGGGGTGGTGGGGAGTGGGGTTCACAGGTCAGACGGCACCACTAAGAGAGTCCTGGGTTCGAATCTGGGCTTCAGTGGCCAGGTTCTCAGCTGCCAAGAGCAAGATGGATCTTGGCTCGAACAGTAATAAACCAAAAAACACAAGCGCACACACACACACGCAAAAAAACCCTACCATCATATTTGGTTTTGCTCTTGGGTTTTGGCTAAATTCCAGCTAGGAGAATTTAAATAATTGTAAAAACAATCTCATAGAAGGGTGTAGGGGAAAGTGTGTGCCCCCCCCTTCTCTCCTCCCCCCCCCCCGTACTGTGTAAAGGGTTGACCGGGGCTTTGTTTTTCAAGACAAAGTCGGTTCTTTGAACACGTGGGGCACACTACTGCCGGCAGATATCTACAAGGATTCTCCCTGTCTTGCGACATGATGCCGGTAGTGCAATTGGAACTGGGGGGGGGGTTGGTTGAGGGGGGGCAGTGGAAAGACCAAGAATATTAAATAATCAAATACCTCCAGCGACGTGTAAAATTACTATCCACTGAAGACGTATCCTCTTCTACCTGGACATCTGTGAAAAGAGAGCTTCATCGCTCATCGGATTCCTCCAGTATAAATAAACATTCCGATTCTGTTGAACTGGGGGACGTTAACTCCTCGTTAGAGGCATCTCTAGAGAGCTCCCTTTGGTGGGTACTTGGCCTACACTTCGAGACACGTCTTGGGAAGAGGTGGGATTACCCGTTACCCCGTCGCACTCCTTTGTGCTCCGAGACATGGAATCGAAGCGGTGACCTCTGGATTACAATGTCCGGCGTGCGGACCCCTATACGCCGCGGCAGCTTCCCGGCGGACGTGAGCACGATCCACCGAAGACTTATCCTCCAATGCCCTCTGCAACCTGCCCGGTATTGAGAATTGCACATCTCTAACATCGTCTAAAAGGATCGCGGGCCGTACGTAGCAATGTTGAGCCGTGAGTCATGTGTCGTACCAATTGGCCCATCGCGAGCGGGCACAGCTGGCAGCGTAGGTGTCCAGGTGAGAACCCGGTCTCGGTCAACAGTCTCTTTCGCAAGGGAGACCTTGGGCAGTGAGGGTGTCGGTGTGAGAGTGAGCCCTCTCCGGAGCGTGACGCGCGCCCAAACGCACCGCGCCGCTTTATGAGACGCGTCCGTGCCGTTCCTTGCTGCACTCCGTCGCGCGTTTGCGTTTTGCGTGAACGTGTGCCCGCGCGTGCTCGCCTACTGCGAGAACATCCACCACCGGCTCTGCCTGATTGCGACTGAGGCGAGTGCTGCTCAATGTGCCACCTGCGCAGGGAGATCGCCCAAACCTGTCGGCTACTAACGGGCCAGCGACGTGAAGCCGGCAGGTTTGACGCTGCAGGAGGGGGTCGCTGGAGGTCACGCGGCGACTGTGCACGAGTCGCAGCGTGCGACGCCGTCGACGGCAACTGCCCCCGACGGCCCCTTCATCTCCATCTGGATGTAACCTACGCACGTCGCCGCGGTCGTGGTCATCGTCGTGAGCCGAGGATCAGGCATGATCTCTATATCCAACGCTCAAGGGATCGGCGACGGCTTGGAGGAGGCCTGAAACGTCGCCTCGTTTGAATCGGTCAGAAAGTAACGCGTCGTCCGCTGCGGGAGCTTTAAAGCGCGCCCGAGCGACGAGTCATCTGACCGCCGTCCCGCGCTCCCCTTGCTCCTCAGACCCTCCGCCCAAAGCCGGCTCCTCGGTGGACGTCGCCGCCGCCGCCGTCCCGGAGCATCCGTTGGCGGCGGCACCGCCGGCGACGCCGTGACCCCGCGATCCCCCTGCGCCACCGCAGCCGCCGCGTTGCACCGCCACCGCCGCCACCACCACGGCCGCCGCGGCCGCCTTCTCCTCCATCGCCTCGTGGATGGTGGGCAGGCTGCCCTGCTTGGGGCAGCGCTTGCGCAGCGCCAGCAGCATGGGCTGTGGCAGCGAGAAGATGTCCACGTTGTTGCCCAGGTCGACCCAGGCGAGCGACGGGAAGGAGCGCGGCTCCTTGAGCGACTCGGCCAGGTCGCGGAGCACGGCGCGCGTCAGCCGGTTGCCGTTGAGCGCCAGGCTGGCGAGGTTGGGCAGCGCCGCGAGGCCCGGCAGTAGCAGGCGCAGCCCGTCGTCCGTGAGCTCGGCGAAGCTCAGCTCCACCGAGTTGAGGGCGCGCAGGTGCGGCGAGCCGCCCTGCAGGAAGGAGGCGACGCGCTCCAGCTCACGCCGGTGGCCCGGGCTGCCCAGCGGGACGCCCGACAGGGGCAGCGTGCCGCCGTCGGGCTCCAGGCACAGCGCCGGCTTCGTGCTGCGGCGGAAGGGCACGGGAGGGGAGGGGGAGAGAGAAAGAGTGACAAGCGCGACGGTGAGCTGCGCGCCGACGGATCGCTGCGAGTGTGCGGAAGGCCCGTGGTGAACGGCGCGCGGCAAGAGGCCGATGGGAATGGACTGCCAACGGCCACGTTCGACGGAGGGACAGGAACAAGAGGCTGCAGTGAACGTACAGGGGTATATGAATGTACAAGCTACCCTGGTGAATGTACAAGCTACCCTGGTGAATGTACAAGCTACCCTGGTGAATGTGCAAGCTACCCTGGTGAATGTGCAAGCTACCCTGGTGAATGTACAAGCTACCCTGGTGAATGTACAAGCTACCCTGGTGAATGTACAAGCTACCCTGGTGAATGTACAAGCTACCCTGGTGAATGTACAAGCTACCCTGGTGAATGTACAAGCTACCCTGGTGAATGTACAAGCTACCCTGGTGAATGTACAAGCTACCCTGGTGAATGTACAAGCTACCCTGGTGAATGTACAAGCTACCCTGGTGAATGTACAAGCTACCCTGGTGAATGTACAAGCTACCCTGGTGAATGTGCAAGCTACCCTGGTGAATGTACAAGCTACCCTGGTGAATGTACAAGCTACCCTGGTGAATGTACAAGCTACCCTGGTGAATGTACAAGCTACCCTGGTGAATGTACAAGCTACCCTGGTGAATGTACAAGAAACTGGCGGAACGTCCTCCCGGGAGCGTTCGCTCCTTTTGGCTGCGAATCCGTCGCCAGCCTCGACCGCCGGCCATGATCGCCTCTCGTGAAGTGTCTTCGACCCTGCTTACCGTTCCGATCGGTGCGTTACGCGGAGTCTGGTTGATTTGTTTAACGACGCGATAATTCAGGAGGCCAGGAGTGTCACGAATGCGGGTTCACATTCACCCGTCCGCTCATTAAAAAAAAACCACGGACAAACGCCGGCGTTCCCCCCCCGGGCCTTCATTTCTCGCTCGGTAATTTCCAGAACGCTGCTAGGGTTTGGCTTGGCGTAGCGATAATCGTCGTAAAACACTGGCACTCAAGAACAAACTACGCCTGTCCACGATGACCCTCTGTCATCGTACCCACACGTATTCCTCAGAGGACGGATAAAACATCACCAGGACAAAAATACGACGAGATGGATGAGGAGCGCCAAAATAAATTCCGACCGATAATAAGAAATGCCGCAGCAACTCAACCGCGCAGCGAGGAGGAATGAGAGTTTATTTAATTATAATAACTCGGGCCCGATGTCACGACCCTTGAGGTCTCTCAGCTGTAAGGAAGGGGGGGGGGGGATACGAAGCGGAAAAATCCAGCCTTCAGCCGTTAATTAGCAGCACACAGTGGCCCCAGCCAGGAGTAAGGGGCTAATTTGACGAGCAGGATTCCGAACGATGTCCCAAAGCTTCCAAATGAGATGCTCGTTAAAAAAAAAATCCACGTTTGTTTATACTGTAAGTCACAAAATAAAATAAAAATATTTGGTGAGGTTTTGTATTCCGCTCAGTCGCTCGCTTATTTGTTTGTACACGTTCCAATCTGTCATCCAGTTAAAACAAATGTGTTCGTTAAAAAGATCCAGTATTTTTTTTTTTTAATTGAAGTGTCTTTTTGAAAAGATGATTGTTGCTACTTGTCACATCGCAGGACCGTCGCGGATGGCGATGCCGGCGTGGGAGAGGAGGCATTCATCCAGCAGCGGATTGAACATGGTCGACAGTGACGATGATGTAAACACAGCACGGCAAACGTGACTTAATAATTTGATTAATTTAAATATATATAATGCTCGAGATGCTTGTGTCAAATTGCGAATATAAGGGCATGTTATTTGCGATTCGTAAACATTTCTATTATATTCTCAAGTACATTTTAAGGCTGAAGGCACGAACCAGACGCTAAAACGATGGGAAAATATAAGACACCGGCACAAACGAGACAACGACCAGCAGATTCTGAACCACGGCGAGCCATCGACTCGGGCGGGGGTGGGTCAAGGGCAGGGTCTGGGTCAAGGGCAGGGTCTGGGTCAAGGGCGGGGTCTGGGTCAAGGGCAGGGTGTGAATCAAGGGCAGGGTCTGGGTCAAGGGCAGGGTCTGGGTCAAGGGCAGGATGTGGATCAAGGGCAGGTTCTGGGTCAAGGGCAGGGTCTGGGTCAAGGGCAGGGTCTGGGTCAAGGGCAGGGTCTGGGTCAAGGGCAAGGTGTGGATCAAGGGCAGGGTCTGGGTCAAGGGCAGGGTGTGGGTCAAGGGCAAGGTCTGGGTCAAGGGCAGGGGGTGGGTTAAGGGCAAGGTGTGGATCAAGGGCAGGGTCTGGGTCAAGGGCAAGGTGTGGATCAAGGGCAGGGTCTGGGTCAAGGGCAGGGTCTGGGTCAAGGGCAGGGGGTGGGTCAAGGGCAGGGTCTGGGTCAAGGGCAGGGTCTGGGTCAAGGGCAGGGTCTGGGTCAAGGGCAGGGTGTGGGTCAAGGAAGTTCGGTGCCCTGCACCCAGCTGTGCTCATCGAATCTGTTGGGGTCGATTCAAGAGGAGCCGAGCGATCGCGACATCAAGAACGCGGAGCCGTGCGTGGAATAAATTGATGCACGCACGGAATGCACAGATGAGGGTCCGCATTCATGGTGCGGCGGCCGTATCGTAGGATTCAAATCTTCGTCGGCGTTTGACGGTGGCAACACAACTGGCGCGTCACGGAGGCCACGGAGAAACTAGGCCACTCTGCGACAAATGAGCCGTGCTCCCATTCCTTCTTCCTCGCCGCGCTCCCAACAAAACACGGCGCGTCCCACCACAACTACGGATTGTGCGCGAGGAACGACGACGGCTTGTGACCGCAGGGCTTGGGGTTAAAAAACATTTTTTTTACCGCTTCCGTTGGGCTCCTAAAACGTGCGGCGCGGCACGGCGGCGACGCCCCCGAGTTTGCCATTCGTGTCGGCCGACCTCGCGTCGCCGCGATTTGTTGCGCGAGAAGCAACAAACGTTGCGGTAAATAACGTTTCTCGTGGAAGATGTTTACAACAGTAGGGCGTTTTTTTGTCAAATTTTTTTTTTACAATATTTTACGCCTTTAAAACAAAAGAAAACTTGATCAAATGCACTGTACTACAAAGTCACTATTGTATTTCAACTTATTTTAAAATGCATTTATATATTTTTTTTCGTTAATGCAAACGTCTGTTATTTCTGTACTTTTCTTTTTTATTATTGCTGTACAAAATTGGCAGGGCGGCGGTGGGGGGGGTGGAAAGGGAGAAGACAAATGGACGCCCACGCTCTCCACGTTTACATTTCTCAACTCGCCTTCTATAAAAGTGCTCGCCAGCAACGGCTGTAACACCGTGAGTAGCGATGGTTTGCAGGGACCGCCTGAGCACTGGGCAACTGTGGTGTTGCGCTCGGCAATTAGACGAGCGTTTGGCTGCTGTAATTTTCCACGCGATAAGCCCGCTTCGTTGAGCTACCGTTCGTGGCCAGGTCGCTTCTGAAAATTTTTTTTGTGTAGCTCAGTGGGGCCTTACCTGATATATATATAAAAAAAATGCATTTAGTTTCGTTTTTTAAACCATTTTGGCTGAAGCGTTATAAAACGCTGCGGGTTTTTCTTAATAATTTCCACGTTTGAAACGTTTGAAGGATGAATTATTTGCCGTGTTTTTTTTTTAACGATTCACACCACCGCCGCCTTCTCGGCGTTAACTCCATCTCGGCCCCAAAACGTCGCGCTGCCAGAACGCGAATTAACAAAAAGAAATGTCACTCCAGCGCCAGATTTGACGGTTGCCGCTTGCTCGGCAGTGCGCGCTGACCAGCGTTGCCACCCGTTCTCGGTTTCCCCCAGGACCGTCCTCTCGTTGAAATAACCGTCCTGAGAAACGTGTACCTTTTCCCGGAACATTTAAGCGATCGGTTTTTGTCAGTTGCCAAATAATAATAATCATAGATCACTCACGGCAGCACAATTGTACAGAGTTCTGTCCTCGTCCAAGTATTGCCAGATATTCTTCTGGGTCTTTCTTGTACCTCAGTTTAAGAATATTTTTTTCCTGCCTCGTTTATACTATTTCCTTTGCATTGTTTTTCATTATCACACTGACCGCAATAAAGTTGCCACCTGGTATCATGGCTTCTCCAGAATTGCCCTGACAAACCTATGTCTTCCCAGAAGCTTTTGTCAGTTGCATTGTAATAATAATGATGATGCACCACTCAAGACAAGGCATTTGCATATAGCTCTCCCTTCCTGCGGTATTGTGCGAGATATCCCTCCTCCTCCTCCTCCCCTACCTCCCACGATGTGTCCTATTTATTTTTTGTACCCCAAAGGTGACAACACTGGGCGCTGACGTGCCCGCGACGTTCGCCGATGGAAAAACAAAACAAAAAAAACACCAACTAACTTTTGCAGCAGAAAACTATTTTTTTTTATTTCCGGCGAGCCATGCCTGACGCTTTGGAGGCGCGTCACGGGCGTGACGCGTCAAGCCGAGGCGTGACGCGGTGACGAGCTGCGAGTGATAACACGGTGACGAGCTGCGAGTGATAACACGGTGACGAGCTGCGAGTGATAACACGGTGACGAGCTGCGAGTGATAACACGGTGACGAGCTGCGAGTGATAACACGGTGACGAGCTGCGAGTGATAACACGGTGACGAGCTGCGAGTGATAACACGGTGACGAGCTGCGAGTGATAACACGGTGACGAGCTGCGAGTGATAACACGGTGACGAGCTGCGAGTGATAACACGGTGACGAGCTGCGAGTGACCACGCGGCGGTCGGAGGCGTGGGTGGCGGCGGTGTGGCTCTCTCAACTCAGCCTCCCGAGCCGCCGCCGAATCTTTCCACTTCAACGGAAGCTCTCGGGCTCCGCGTCGATGATGAGATGCGAGAGCCGAGGCTCAAGGTCTCGGCCCTGGAAATTGTACCGCGCAGGTTTGAGCTTGGACGCGCGACGGATGCTCTTCGCGATTGATTTCATCGCCGGCCG